AAATGGATTATAATCCATTATAATCGGTTAAAATTGATTATTTTTCATTTGATAAAACTTTTTGAAAATAACTTAGAAATAATAGATTATAGTCTATTATAATCGATTGTTTTTGTTATTTTATACGGACTGACATGACAATGAAAGTCCAATATAATCAATTATTATCCATAAAACTTCAGTGCGGGTTGTAACTGAATAATCTTTTTTGAAGAACTTTTTCTTCTGAATGACATCAAGGAAAATTGAGTCAACTAAAATGTTACTTCATTTTGCAAACTATTTATGGTGAATTTCGAAAAACACAAATTCAATCTCAAAAAATTGGCTGAAAACCGAAAAAATATCGATGTTTACGAAACAATTTTGGTTCATTTTGCCGTAAGCTTATGTTGTCGGTTTAGTTCATTGTAAGTTAATGTTTTCGGCCAAATCTATTTGATTCAAAATAGTTGGATTTAGATATACCAATTGTACTTTGTACTTTTTATAAAATCTATTTTTGGCCGACTGACCCTAAATTTTTTTTAAAGGCGCCTTTGGCGCCAAGAAACACTGTTTTTGAGGGCAGCGCGCGCCAAAAAAAACGCAATTTTTTTGTCAAAATTTTCCAAAAAAAGCCCAAAAACTGCTTTTTTGACCTGTTTTTTCAAAAACAATGACTTTTTAGTGCTTTAGAGAGCTCGGAAAATCAATTTGGTCGACCTATAAAAAGTCAAGTTTTTTTGAAAATTCGCAAGCCCCCCCCCCCCCCCCCCCCCCCCCCCCCGAGAAAATCCTAAATCCGCCCCTGCAAAGTATGAATAAAATTTCTTTCCTTAGTTTTTTAAGGATCTCCAACCCAAAATAAGCATTTAGCAATCGTGTTTGATTTTTTTTTGATTTGCACCAACTGCTGTCATACAACAAAAAACGATATTTTTTTTAATGAAACCACTGAATTAACATTTTTCAGGAAATAAATCAGATTCAGGGTTGAAATTTGTTAAATACTTTCTTAAATTCAGCGGGAGAATCCGGTTAGGTAGAAACTGGGAAAATCTTACTCTGGAGTCGTTATTAGACATGTTGATATCATATCACGTCCATGTTGTAAACAGATGGTTTGTAAATTGATTCAATTTTCTTGCATAAGCGCTGGTGATTACCTTGCCATTATCAAAAAAAATTCTTTTTTACCTTTTCTCTCATCGGACATTCTGAAGTTAGAGTTTTTGCTGTGCCCTATTTAAGTTAAAAACATGTTTTAGGCTTTGAATAACAACTTGCTGACTAATATCTCCCCCAGTCAAAATCCTAAAAAAATCACCGCATATTCATTAGCGCCAGCTTAGTCTTAGGGCACAGTTTAACGTACTCATGACTAAATGATTTTTAAGCTCGTTAATAAGTATATATTCCTCAAGGTTAAACCTTTGGCTGGTTGACTGAAATCACCAATTACTTATAGATCTGAAGCTCGATAGGTTTAATTTAAACGTGAAAAGGTCATTAGACAGCCGATTGGAACCAAGGTTCTTGCTAAAAAAGAACGTTCAAGCCATATTCTGAACAGAAGTTAGCAACAGCTCCTTTTTCCCGTACTCTTATTTTTGATTAAAAGTTACTCAATATGAACACGTTCTAAGCAAGCAAGATACAACTTTACTTGCTAATTGCGAAATTTCTTTTCAATTTTACCAAGGTTATTGAAGAATACAATAAATAATAGCGTCCTATTCAAAAACTGTTTAGTGAAGTCCGTTAGTTCTGTATTAGAAGATATGATGTTTCGGCCATGTCAGCAAGTATTTTAGGTAGCATACAGTCAATACCATTGTCTCCCCGCCTCCTGTCAAAAAATTGTTTAAAAATTAAGCTAACTTAAAGGTTGTTTGAAACTTTTGATTTGTTTTTCACTGTCGAATAAACTTCTCAAGCAAATTTTGACTTTAGGCAAAACAAGTTTGTTGTATTAAGCGATTCAAAGTTACAATTACGATGCCAAAATGTGCACTGGATGTTCGCTTGATTTGGTGTCTGTATGTTCCTAGATTCCAGAGACAAACCTTTAAACTTGTTCTAAATTGTAAATGGAGTCCACTAACATAAATTCCGTGGATTCCTTGTAAAAAAAATTAACGTAAAGTTTGTCGCTGATTTCGCTAAACTTATTTGTTCCGGACTCCGCAAATACCAACAAGCAGTACAAGCAGTATCCGCAAAAAGTAAGCGGAGTCCAGAAACGTAAGGGGATTCCACAAATAAAAGTGGATTGTAGTTTCGTTTGTTATACTAAGTTGAACCAGTGATTGCGTCAGCAATGAAGAGCTTTAGTTAGAATTATTATTTACCAAATGCAGATTTCAAAAGCAAGAATTTACGTGAATGCATCCCTTTAGTGTTTGGAAAAAATGAAATTTATTAATAAATCAGCCTCATCAGCCATGAAATAGTTTACCTCAGTTTGCTTTCATTCTTCTAGAGTTTGAGATCAGAAAAATGATCATTGTTTCATTATTTGAGTTTGGAAAATTGTTAATTTGTTCAGTATTTTAGATTTAGCTGGTGAGTTCAAACCGTTGACAAAAAATGAGATTGAACTCTTGGAAAGTTATGCTGATGACCTACAAAAACAGATTTGATTTAAAATGTAAATTCAAGATGAAACAATAAATGATACTGGAATCCGCAAAAAAATGCGGAATCCGCAAACAATCTGCTCAATCCATTTACAAGTTGCGGATTCCGCAACAGCTCAGTTTTACTATACCAAATTTATTTTTTTTGTTTGTAGGTTCCGCAACAGCTCAATTTTACTATGCCTTATTTTATTTGTTTGTTTGTAGATTCCGCAAACTACTTTCGGTGCAATTTTATTCACTCGTTTATGGAATTCAAAACAGCAAAATTATTTTTTAAAAAACGTTGATTTTGTCATGTTGCGAAATCCGCATTCAAACAACAAAAAGCACAGTTTGGTCTCGTAATTGTGTGTAATGAAAAAAAATCTGTATCAGCCTTGCATGTAGATAGTTATGAGATCTGATAACTGTAAAATTCGACTAGCATAGTCATGTATTAAAAAATCACTTTGATTTTAATGACTCTTGGCGTTTTGTGCATCATTTATTGCTGCAATCATTGAGAAGGAGAAATTTTGAATTTGGGGACGTTTTTGTTTTTAAGAACAGATACAAAATTCAACGTTGCTTTATGATTTGACTTTTTCTACCAAAAACTGGTATGTTTTAACCGTGTCGACTAATTATTGATGTTTTAGCTTTCTCGATCAAGTTTGTTCTAACTCGTTTTTCTCGACGCAACAAAAAAGTGTTCGACCCAGTTTAGATATGTTTCGACTTTCCCGACCGAACTCGATACATTTCGACTTTCCCCGACTGTCTCGCCCAACGTTTTCAAGAAGTTCAGTGGCTCGATCTCGAACAGATATTTTTGAGTTTTTTTCCCAAAGTGGGTATGTTTATAATCTCGACTTTCTCGATAGACAAAAATTCCAAAAAACTCGACCTATGATTCAATTTTTGACTTATGCTTCGACTTTCCCCGACTGTCTCGACCAAAATTTTCAAGAAGTATAGTAGCTCGACCTCGAAAAGATTTGTTTCAATTTTTTAAACCAAAAATGGATGTGTTTATAGTCTCGACTTTTTTAACAGACAAAACTTCTAAATATCCTCGACCTATATCTCAATTTTTTGATTTTTGTTTCGACCTACTCGACCAAAATGAGCATGTTTCGACTGGGTTCGTCGACGTTTTTGACTATCAAATAACATGAGTATACTGGACAAAAATCATAATGTATGCTTTCTCGTTTTTTTTTATTTTGCTTGAATTGAAAAAAAACTAAGATTCAGAAAAAAACAATTTTGTTTTCTGAAAAACTAATTTTAACAAAATGAAACTTTCATTTTGCTTTTGTTTTCTTATTAAATCTGGACTGAAACTGTTGATCTGAAAGATGAGGTTTTAGGAGATTTTGGTAGAATTTACTTTTTCTTGCCGCAATAAACTCTAGATTTCGAAAAATTGAAGGGTTCCAGCTAAAACTTTTCTTTTTGTGGCAATCAATTTTCGTCAACTGATTGTTGCTGATAGCAATTCTCTGACGGAGCTCATTTCTGCGCAGATTGATGATAGCGGGTATATTTAGACTTTACGCTTGACTTAAAAGTTCTTCTCTACCGCAGAATTTGAGTAAAAAAAGGCACTTGCTCGACTTCCAGAGTCGAAATATAAGTCGAGCACCTTGACTCGGAAACCATACAGAAACCATTTCAGTGGTAATGTTGGCTGCCGTGAAAAATCTCAAAAGTTGATGAACAGCGGGGGGCACTTAGCATAGTGGTAAGGCGTTCACTTTAGAATAGTCAGATCGTGTAATCGATCCCATGCCATGGCAATGATAGTGTGTGAGGACGAGCTCTCACTTGACCTCTAGCTTCAGGTCTACCACAACCTGACCAAATTTGGCTGCAAAAGTGGTAACACGTGCAAGTTCTAGACGCAAAAAAAACGGCCTTGAGTCGCAAAAAAGAGCTTCGCTCAACAAAATAACACAGTCTGGAATGTGGGGAAATAATACAAATGGACTATCCTCGACAGGACTGTTAAGGCCTACTGATAGCGATTCGCAGGAACTACAATTAAAAACAGCGGAAAACAATTTTTAGCCGGCCATTAAATAGATCATAAAATTTGAACTAGCATCCCCTACCGCATTATTCTTCCAAGATGAACAATTGAAGACAAAGATAGCCGGTTGCTGATATCAGTAAACAAACCAAAAAAGTATTGCGACGCTGCACCCAAAACTCATGCTGTCATCCCAAAATTACCAAAAGCACCTTGCCTTGGTAGTCGATTTTGCCCATGACATATTTGGCCCCACAACGGAACTTGTCTTCAAAAATATTGGCGTTGAAATGTGCGAGTAGTGCGATCAGAACATGCGTTCGAATGTGAAAAGTTCATGAAAAAATACTCAATTGAAAATATGAAACAAAAATATAAAACATCTATATAAAACAACGAATTGAGTGATAACAACTAAATTTCAGCTTAATTTGGCATTTGCTTAGTGCATAATTAAATCACCGCTCTGTCACAATATTCTTAAATAACCTAACATTCAACTGAATTTTTAATTGAAAGGCACTTTTAAACATTGTTTGTTCAATCTACCTTTTTACTTTTTAGCTGTCAACAAATGACGTTAAATTAAGTTGACACTGTTTTAACGCTTTTTTCCTGCCAACGTCAGAGTTCAATTTTCGGAAGAATTGGTAAGATGAACTTGAATTCGATTCCAATTCGATTGATAAAATGGTACTTCGAACCGTGATTGCACTTAAACGTACCACTCCTTTAAATGAGATAAATCACGCATGTTAATTAACTGTCCGTCATTGAAATCTGTGTAAGAAATTTTTCGATTTGTCGTATCTTGAGAATCCAAATAGGACCCTTGAATGCTGCGACCTGAATTTGACCTCAAGTCTGACCCCTGACCCAAAAGAGGACTTGTGGTTCTGCCGATATTGCAACTATTGTTCGTTGCCAGCACGCTTCTAGGAAATGTGTTGGTGTTTCTTTCGTAGCTACTGATATTGTTGTTGTTCAAACTACTTTCTTTTATCGTTGTGCAACCCCCATTTGCATGTTTAAAGATTGATACTTTTCCATTACTAGCACTCCCATTTTTGTGAACAAAATCATTTAACTGTGATTTTTCAACTTGGTGATGATGACTTGAGGTTGACGGAGTTCGTTTATGACTCGGGCTAAACTGGTTATGACTAATGACGTGGTTTGTCAATCCAAATTCATGCTCGCGACTAGTAGCATTCAAGTCGTCAATATTATTTGTCGTTAAAATCGGAAGTTTTCCAGGAGCTTCGCCGTTTTTCTCCGAGATTTCAATGGTCACGCCGTATTGATCGATTATATTTTTGTGTCGCATTTTGTAAACTGCGAAAATTAATATGAGGAGCGCCATTACCACTGAAGTAACTATTCCGATAGTGATTCCAGCTGCCGACGTTGACATTCGGATACCACGAGTTGTTTGAAGCAACTGGTCGGTTCCTCTATCGTCGAATCGTGACTTCATGTCATCTAGTTTCTGTTTATCCTTAATAGGACGTGCTTGGTCGTTCTGAGTCGGATCCAAAATGTCACATGACAAGCACTCGGGGGTTAACTTCGTATCATCCGAGTCGTCGGTGTCGGGTTTTGTAGATATCTCAGGTGTCATAGTGCGAGTCGGTGTATCAGAAGAATCTGTATCTAGAAACCATTCAATATGAAGAAACAAAATGAGAAACTCTTCGATTCAAAACAGCTAAAATGCAATCAACCTAGAGCAAAAAAATAGAAAAGAACAGTGTTTTAAAACACGCTATTAATGGCTGCTCTGAAACGATTTTTGTCAAAACTAGAGATTTACTCACTTCTTGCACTTTGCAGATCATCTGCAAATTTAATTTATATTTTAAGAAGTAATGAATCAAATTTTCTTCACAAATATGGCATCAAATTTTTAATCACCTTTGTTGTTGTTGTTGTTATTATTACTTGAACAAGGAGGATACATCTGGGTCGCGAAAATGCAGTCGCCCATTCTGGGGTCATAGGAAGGGTCACTGGCCGGGTTGAGGAAAGGGTCATCGGGGTCAAATGTGAGGGGCGCAGACAGTCTTTCCAGCACCCCGTAGCTTTTGGTGAAGGGGGAGTCGAAAGCGAGATAGGAGAACACTTTCATCCCATTGAAGTAGAGACCACTCATAGTGCCTGGAAATTTACAATTCGAAATTAGATCAACACGCAATCAAGATTAAAAAACATTTTTTTTTCTAAGCAAATGATGTTGGGAATTATACGTCAGCAGTCATAATTATACGTAGTGATCGGTCTCATATAAAATATAGAACTTTAACTGTTTTTTTTTGCTGCTGTGATATGAGAGCGTCCTTGTTTATGCTTGTAACAATTTGCTAAAATTTAAAAAAAATAAAACTCATTTTTTGAATTTCATTTTTGCCTAACGACGCACAAGTTTTTTCATACATTTTTTCAATGAATTGCTTTAATTGTTACACTTTTATGGTTGTTTGAACGTGGGTTTGTGACATGAATATTTTGTTTCCACGCCTTGAAAATTCTGAAAAGAAAAGAACTCTCATCAATTTTGAAATCTAAGAACCGCGCCACTAATTTGGTTCATTTATCAAAAACAATATATATGTATTTTACTATAAAATTGTATCACTGCTTCACTAAAGAAATGTGACAGAATGCTGAAATCTCCGCCCAAAAATTTTGTCATTGTCTTTCGTTTTCTAGCTTGCTGCCTTTTTGTGTATTCATTTAAGGAAACACGATTATCAAATACAAAACTTCAATTGTTTGCACTCAGCATTTAGTTTTAGTTTAACGACCACGCTGTCAACCATGAATAGAAGAAAAATCCCATTAAATCGTCCTTTTTAGAACACTTTTAAAAAAAAAAAAATCTGGCTAAATAGAGTTATGGTTTCCAGGTTCAAAAATATTTTCAGAGAAACAAACATTTTTAGTAAATTTAGTTAAACCTATTTTGAATTTTTTGACGAGGACAAAAGAATTAAGAAATACAAGTTCCCGAGCCAGTAGCAGAGCAGATTCGACAACGATATTTTATAACAAGACTGCTCGTATATGGCAAAGCTTTGAATGTTCCGACTCCTTTTTCATTCGTCTCTCGGATATATTTTGGCAAAATTAAATATATCAAAATTAAATATTGGCAAAACTACGAAATATAGGCTGATAATATCAAAATTAAATGTTACAATTTGAGTCTTGTATGGAGCTATTAAAACCAATTAGCTGCCTCAATTCAATTTGGAACGATTTTGTAGTGCGGGATGATAAAACAAGTAGTTATAGGCATACTCATGGCTTCAGCAAATTTCATAAATACAAGCCTCTCATGAAAACCAAAGCTAGAATTCTATCCAAGGAACTCAAAAAGTCAATTATTTGATTTTTTTTATGATACTTTTATTGAAAAACTACTTTGAATTTTTGGAAATTTTGTACTCGGAACTTAGCGAGTTGGTCTGTGAACTCAGCTTCTAAAAATAGAAAATTTAAGCTCAAAAGTTTTTTTATAACCTAAGAAAACTCTCTCTAGTCGCTTGCTCTACTCGTTTGCTGTACTTGCTCTTAAGTTCAAAAGTTTTTAAATAGTTTTCTCAACAATTCGAGAACAAGTTTGGAACTTTACAATGAAGATTTTAATTAAACGGGATTTAAAATATAAAATTACTCAATCTTACCTAAATTTCATTTGTGATACCTGATTTTGAAGGAAACAAAAATTTTTTTGAAAAAAATACAAAAAAAATTAAACTCAGAGTTCATCCCCACTTTCAGTAATCGCAACAAATAGTAACTAGTAAAACTTCATAAATTCAAAGTTCCTCCCTACTTTAAATAATCGGCAAAAATTGTAACTAACTAGTAAAAATTGAGCATAGATGGCAGAAACTTGAAAAGTTTTCCGATGGAAGTGCACTTAAAGTTTAAGCAACAAGGATGGCCTTGCTTGACTAATAGCTAGCAGGTCAAACCAAAGTACATTTGGAAACGTTTCAATCAACTCAAGAACATTTATAAATTCAATCAATTTTTACAAGCATTTTCCAACTTTTCAAAAGTCATCATGCTAAAACACTTGTATTTTCAAAAAATTTCATTAAACGCCACTTTTTTCAAAAGTTGAATAAATAGGAGTTTTTAATCTTCTAATAATTCTGAAAGCTCTAGTATAATTCTAAAATCACTCAATTTATTTGCGCAGTTTGCACTTTTGTTACTGGAGAATCAAAATTGCCTTCCTCTTAGCAAATTAAGCTGATTAAAGAAATTTTTGCTAAAAAGTAAATTTCAAACGTTTTCGCAACTATGTGCATCGTCAGGATTTTTACAATAAACTACTCTGAATGACGATAAAACATCAATTTACAAATGTTATTTACAATAAATCACATACAATTTGGTTCTAAACCATCATGATAAAAAATTAGCCAATCACAGTTGACCTCTAAATTACTATTAAGATTAAAATACTTTTAACCTCTAAAATTAATTAAACATTTTAAAATTAATTTGTCTGGAAGTTTCTGAGTCATAATTTCGATTTAGACATGTACGTTTTGAATAAAAAACCAAAAATATTTTGGGACTAAATTTTCAGTGTTAACTCCCTGCTCCTAAACTCATCGCGCGTGTTCAAGCCCGGTTTCTCTTTCCTGATATGTATTGCCTCTAGTGTTAGCAATTTTGTTTGGTTGTTTGACCTATCTATAATTTCCCAACTAAGATCTGCGCTATTTCCCTCAAGTTGGCATTGCTGAAGGTGGAGGCCTACCGGTGAGTCTGCTTTCCTATGTTCCTCAATTCTAGTGGTCAAATGTCGAACAGTTTGTCCGACATAGGTGGAAGTGCATCCACTACATGACAGTTTATAAACCACTCTTGACTTGAGGTCATTAGAAAATGCTGACTTCAGTGATGGTAAACATGATTGTAGTTTTCTTGTGGTGAAAACCACTTGAACGTTCGTTAATTTTCGTAACCTGTTAGCAAAATATTGGCTCTGGTTACCTCTATATTGCACCATCAGCATTGGGGGCTTTTCATCCTTTGGTGATTGAACTGACAAACCCCTGTCACTATCCAGGGGCTTGCCTTTACCCTCGATGATCTTGCACAAGGCGTCTGAAGCCACCTTTGCGGACCAATTTTCAGGGTACTGATTTGTCAGCCATTGCGCCCTATTAGTTTCCATAGCCTTATCAAATTGCTCCCAGCTAGATGTACTCCTAAAAACCCTGTGTACAGTGCCTTGGATAACACTACGCTTATACTGAGTTGGGGCGCAGCTTCTATAGTTCAGTATAGTCCCTGTATCTGTTGGTTTTTGATACCAACTGCAAGTTACACGCCTATCCTGCGATATATTTATGTTCAAATCCAGGAACGGCAAATTCCCCTCCGAATTAGTTTTCTCTAGAGTGAACTGCAAATTTGGATGAAGAGAATTGGCGGCATCGAGAAGACAACTCGGCTCCCCTCTGACTGTTCTGACAATGTCATCCACATACCTGAGGAACAATTTCACCTGGGGAGTATCCTTCTCCTTGTTCTTAGCTCGGCAGCAGCTTTCACAGTACCAGACTATCTCGGTTATTGATGCGTATACGTCATCGGATATTTTTCCGCATTTTAGATGATACCAGTTTCGGCAACTCTCGCATTCAACCCCCTTTGATCTATATGTGACTTTCCTGCTGCAACATGGGCACAAGCCGTTTTTGTCATTAATTTGCTGTACCCCCGTTCCCACCGGTATTTGTTGTCGTAGAGCAAATTCGTATTCTTTCAGCCATAAGTTTGCCAGAATTACAGCGAGGGACGCTCCCATTGCTAAACCATCAACTTGTACATACCATGAATCATTACACTTGAAATATACTTTGCTGACCGCCATATTCAAAAGCCTTTTCATGGTTGCTCTTTGAACTTCAGGAGGAGACTCCTGGCTGTACAGCTTCTGTAAAGCAATTTCAATTGCCTCCTTCAGGGGAACGTTGGTGTACAAACTTTTCACATCAAGAGATATTATGGTTTCATCCGGATCTAGAGCAATGTTTTCTATTTTTTCTCTAGCCTCTTTAGTATTGGTTTCTATATTTGCTCCATCGATGTTGTCAAAAAACTTCGCAAGCATTTTGTTAAGATTCTCATACGAGCTGCCGGGAAGTGATAGTACAGGTCGTAGGGGTGTCTCATCCTTGTGTACCTTAGCTAAACCGTACAAACGGGCGGGTTGCCCCCCTGTTGATCGTATCTTAGAATATAACTGATCACTTATCTCGTCTCTTTTGTTCATGGCTAGTAACTCTTTGTTAAGTTCTTTCTCAATTTTCAGTATCACCTCATCAGTGGTTGCATCTTTTTTCACAAACTGAGCAGATTGCAACAAGGATTCCAGCTTTGATTCATATGTTTGTTTCCTCATTATGCAAAAACCAACCCCCTTATCAAAAGGCACAGCCAGCAACCCATTATCTTTGAGATATTTCCTCGTTTTTTCAACGGCTTTGTCTCTTGGGGTTTGCCGTACGTTTTTTGCATATGCCTTTGCCGCGGCTTCTATTTCACATAACGTTTCACCAGATGTTTTTTGATTTTTCAATTGTGAGAGGAAAATGTCGATATCCGCCAAAAAATGTGTTTCGTTAAATTTGTCTCTACTTGGATGCTTGGGGCCCATTGATAGCACTTCATATACCCAATCAGGCAGTTCAATATTATCAAGTACCCTAACTGATCGCTCATTTCTCCCCCCAAGAGGTTTATCTTGTCTCTCGGACAGTTTTTCTAACTTTTTTCTATGGTTTTCTGATGTTGTCTTTAAGCTTGCCTCAACTTGCCGCCTCACGAATCGGAAAATGGATGCCCACCACTGTTTGTCAATTTCTTTTTGCACCAGTGATCTTGCTTTCCTTAGCATCTCCTCGTACCTTTTCCTATCCTCATTTGCCCTAGAAGTTTCAGTCCTTAGTAGTTTCAATTGAAAATTATGCACAGCTTGGTCCGAAAAAACCCCGTTCTCGGGGACCCTAAACTTCAAAAAGTCCGGTATTAGATCGTTTTTCAGACATTTTCTCAGAAACTTCAGTCTATGTACAGATACTTGAACTTTTTTAAAGAATTTTAAATAGTCTAACACAATTTTCCAA